CATGTAAAATATTAAAGGCACCATGAGCTTATTTCTATTCTGTGAAGTAGGGAAGAAGACCATTGGCCTCGAGTCTGCTCTGAGAGGGCTGGCAATGGAGCACGCTGGGGACACAATGCTGAGCACAGCACGAAGGACAGCAAAAGTCTGTGTTGGTCCGAGCAATGGGCTTGGTGCTGATTACAGAAACTAATTGTGAGCCACTTCAGGATGACAAATTCCCTCAGATTACTTCAAGAAGATAGATTTGCTCTAACTTACCAACTTAAATAGATAACTACTGCTTATTATAAATGCACATTTGGAAGTATGTGTTCTATTTTAATTTGAAAAGTTATGCAGGGGCTGCAGGATGAATTCTGAAGATGCATGGCCCATCCCATCCCATTACCGAGAAGACAACAGGAAGCCGTAGTCTGATATAAAAGCATTAAAATAATTAATTTTCAGCTTTATTGTGTGTCAACAGGAATATATAATGAGCATTCTTGCAAAAACTGTAGATTAAGCGTTTCTCTCTGAATCAGTGCTGTGCTGAAATTGTCCTTGATTTAATGTAGAACAAATAGGCTTTGGATCTCATTACCGTTGTTACTCATTGCAGCGGTGTCCAGTGCTATCGGGGCAGGTGAGATGGGTGGAAAATGGCTGCAAATATTAAAGTAAACAAGCAGTATGATGAGAAGAGGAAGATGCATCATGTTTCCGTGCGGGTTAAGAACTGGTTGTTGTGAGATCATCAAAAAACAGTTACAGCATAGAGCCCGGGGATCTCAGCCCGGTGGGCTCGGAGCTCAGTGTGGGTTCAGCAGCAGGGCACGGTGTGTGAGCTGAAGGAGCTGTGCTGACTGCACACAACTGCCAGGTTTTGGCTGCAAGCCTGCGAGCAGTGATGAGTTTCCACTGCCTTTGGTTTGAACACTGATTTACTCGTCACATAAACGATGACTAAATGATAGGTGTGGCTGTGCCCACGGCCTCCCTGGCACAAAGCAGGCAGCGGTAGGAGAGACCAGAGCAGGACACACACAGCGACTGTTAACTCCTGCTTTAAGAGGAGAATACTTGGATGGATTTCAGATGGGTATCTCAGCACGGTGGGAAAACTGAAGTGCTGGTGCTGCTCCTCCAAAGCTGGATTCATTTTGGAACCCAGCAGCAGGGCAGCGCCAGGGCTGTTAGGAGCCCCAGCCACAGGGACGGACGGGGTGGTGGGGAGCAGCCCCTCCTGCAGGGCTGGGTGCCACTGCCCCCAGGGGATGGAGCTGAAGGGAAAAGTTACAGCAGTGGGTGAAATGCAGTGTTGGTGGTCTGGGTGAGCCGTCGTGGTAGATCTGTGTCTTTCCCTGGTTGTTTGGCTTATCGCTGCTGTAATCTATTTAAGGGATTTTAGTTGATATTTTGCAGGAAGCTTTGTTGACTGTGTGTTGTTGGCATTCTTAGCTTAAAACTGTTATCACGTTAAAGCCCTGGATTGAAAAACTAATTACAAGACATTAATAGCTAAGCCCGAAGAGCTAAGTCATGCAAATATTGCTATCTGGGAAGTTGAATGTGCAAAAACTGTTTGAACTCTGACTTAGTGACAGGAGCCTGAAAGCACTCTGTGAGATAGCAATAAATCTGAGCGCAATCCTCTGCAATAGTTTCCTAATATGTCCACGAAATTAATGGCAGTGCCGTTATAAACATCCTATTGGGGAAAGTAGCTATTTTTCCTGAGAAGGTTAATTATCAGTAACGTAATTATTTTTGTACTGCCTTCTATTTTAATCAAACATTGCATGAAACAATTTGGTTCAGAACAAATAGCTCATTACAGAAATGTTTGTGGTGCTGAGAAAAGAAGCAGCGATGTTTAAATTACAGACATATATCGAGTTACTTTATTCATTAAAATGAACAATTATGCTAGGCCTTATGATACAGGCTAAGCATTTCTTGCTAATGTTTGTTCTGTGGTGAGCATGATGAGAATTAACGCTGGGGCCGGATCCCATGGCACCGAGGTGTTCATGGAGCGGGCAGTGAGCTGTGGGCTCTGCTGCTGGGTGCTGGGTGCTCGCTGCCCAGAGCCACGTGCAGCCTCACCTGTGGGATCCAGCATCTGGAAATGAACCCAGGAGGTGAAACACGTGGTGGTGTGCAGCCTTCAGGGAGCATCCGGTGCCACGGCAGCACGGGGCAGCGTGGAGGAGCACAAGGCACGGTGCATTGCCAGCATTAGGAACGCTAATTGGCAAGGCCCTGACGAAGTGCCTGTCCTCCCAGTTCTCATCTGCCATCCGGATTCTGAGCAGTTGCAGATCAAGTGCCAGTCTTGGAAGGGAAGGCTGAAGGCAGGACTGGCACTGTGCTGAGGTGGCTGAGGGAGGAAGCAAAGACCAGAAGTGCTTGCTTTCATATGGACTGCTTAAAAATACTGCTTTTATCTGAGCCTAACAGCAGCAAATCCCATGGTTTGCTGGTATTAGTTAGATTGTATTGAAGGAAATGCTCTGCTGTTTTGTTCTGTTGACAGTCCTATTACAGTAATAGTGGACAAAAATTATTCTTGTGGTCCTGATCCTGAAACTCTGAACTTTGCAAAATCTGTAAGTCGTTTCCAGCTCAGATAGGCAAGAAGTATTGGGAAAAGTGCCATTAAATAGAAGCATGCTTATAGGTTTAAGTAAATAAAAGAAGGAACTGAATGTAACAGTTCCTCAACACAGTAGAATTTTTTTCTAGATTCAGGTTCTCAAAAGCCTATTTACAGAAACTGCAGTAAAGGATGGGAAGAGGAGAACAGAATAATGTACGTTGGGTACAGCCATCAGCTCCCAGGGCTCCCGATGTACAGCTGAACAGTTTGTTGCTTTTGTTTACACTTCTGAAAGCAGTAATGAAGCTCTAATTTATTACAAAGACGTGAAATGCTTCAAAAATACTCTTTATGTGTGTGGGGGGGGAGAGCATCTCCACTTTGGATCGGATTCTCCGCTCCCAGCGCCTGCCTCGGTGGCAGGTGGCTTATCTGACAGCAGTTTTCATTATTGATTTTCTAGCCAGAAGCAACAGAGCACCGTGAGCCTTTCAGAGGGCAGCGATACAGAGTTATCGTGGTGTGGTCCCAGCAGACCAGAAAAGAACTTTCCATAATTTTGCCCGATCTCCTGTTTATCTCCTCACACCAGTATCTGTGCAGAATGAGATTCCTTCGGGCTGTCCCCGCTATCTGGCAATGCACGGGATACTTCTGAGAATATGGAAATTCTCTGGGTCTGAAGGCGTAGGGGGATGTGATGATGCATTAATAACTCTGTGGCTCTCTGAGGTATGTAGAAAATTGGTGAGAACCCTTTCATCACTGCAGCCTGGGTCAAACTGCACGCGTGTAGATGCTTTCCTCATTTCATATCAATGCGTGCTGTAAAACCAGCACCAAGTACGTTCTGTGTTTAGTAGCTGTAATAGCAAATGGGAGCTCCAGCCTGGGCTGGCGTGCCACTCTGTAGCTGTACCAGCAGTGGTAAGGAGTAGTTGCCGTGCCTCAGCTTCCATCTTTCTAGGAAGGTGAGGTAGAAGGCAGTGATAAGGAGGAATTGTTCTTCAGCTTCTGTGAGCTGCAAGCCTTCAGCTCAGTGCGATGGTAGGGAAGAGTTCCCGGGTCTTGTTTTCTTTCAGAATAAGCAGTGAACATTGAAGGTTAATGAAGTTTCTTGAGCAGGGGCAGACCTCTCAAACATCTGTTATTGAGGGATTATTTCTGTAGCGTTGGCTGCAGACTCTCAGTAGTATAATATTTGAGCAGTCTGTGGCTTTGATGTTTTTCAAGCATATGAAACAAAGTTGGTACAGGGTCTATTTTGAATTAAATTAGGAGGGTGCACCTTAATCCTTCAGTTTAAGACATCCTAACCCCAGTCTTCCTGCGCACATCAATAATCACAGACAGCTGATTCCAGCAGCTCACCTTAAAATCCCTCAGTTGTAGGAAATATTGGAGCGTGTAAACATTGAAGAACCTAAATTATTAGCTGCAATGTTGTTTTAGTTAGGCTTACGTTTGCCCCAGCAGATCAGGTGGTGCATCAGGAAAAGCTGTGCACACACACATGTGCTGCAGGTTGAGGAGTCTCTGAAGTTCTGCTGTGTGGCTGAGCTGCATCTGGTGCCGTGAGTCGGTGCTGGGTGTCAGGACCTCCCCGTGGTCCCAGACTGGGTTATTGCAGAGGAGCTCCAGTGCTGAACCTCCCAGGTTCTAAGCAGCTGGTCAATCTGGAGTATTTTGGAATGATTGGTGACTCAAATTTTGTGCAGTATTTTGAGTTAAACTTGGATTTTAGGATTCTTCAGATTTAGGATCCTTTGGACTACAGAACAAATGAGGTGTTCCATTTACTTAATGCAGTCGTTGATAATTTGCATTCCCAGAAGCATGCCTGGTATTTCAGAAGCCGGACGTGACTTTGAAATGAAATATTATCTAATTACAGCGTTTTTCACTGATGACTGTTTTCTTTGTACCTCGTAGTTCTTACGCAGCTCTCATTACAGATCTCACCACATTCCCACCAATTCCAGCCCCTAGGTACGTTTCCACCTTGCTCAAAGTGTTCCCCTGTAGCAGTAGTTCCAGGAGGGGGGAACACTTCCTGTGGTCTTAGTGAGGAGCTCCAGGCTCTGGGTGCATGAAAGGCAGTCTCGCAGTGTGGCTGCTGCCTTCCCATAAGCCAAATCAAGTGCTCTCACTGATTTTCATGCAGCAAAAAGGGTTTTCACACTGCTGTTTTGTCTGGTGCTGTGTCATTCTACACAAATTTATTACTAAGAAACGTGAAAAATGGCTGTAGTAAATAGTCTTGGGTTACAGTCCCGCGTGAAGGCGCTGGTGTGCAGTCTGGAAAAGCACAGTCGACCACATGTGATGTTTTCCATTTGTTTGTTGCAGCGTGCTGCCCCGTGGTCCGGCGGTAACACCCACATAACAGCCTCCTTCTGCTTCACATGTCTCCTAGATCGACGACATGCAGTGGGGTAGAGGAGTGCGAGAAGTCCCGTCCTCGGTCTGCAGCCTGCCTTGCAAGCCGGGAGAGAGGAAGAAGATGGTGAAGGGGATGCCGTGCTGCTGGCACTGCGAGCTGTGCGATGGGTACCAGTACCAGGCCGACGAGGTCACCTGCCTGCTGTGCTCCTACAACGAGCGGCCCAACGAGAACCGCACCGGCTGCCGCTCCATCCCCATCGTCAAGCTGGAGTGGCACTCGCCCTGGGCCGTGATCCCCGTCTTCTTGGCCATGCTCGGGATTATCGCCACCATTTTTGTCATGGCGACCTTCATTCGCTACAACGATACCCCCATCGTCCGGGCCTCGGGGCGGGAGCTCAGCTACGTCCTGCTGACGGGGATCTTCCTCTGCTACATCATCACCTTCCTGATGATCGCCAAGCCAAACGTAGCCGTGTGCTCCTTCCGGCGCATCTTCCTGGGGCTGGGGATGTGCATCAGCTACGCAGCCCTGCTGACTAAAACAAACCGCATCTACCGCATATTTGAGCAGGGCAAAAAGTCAGTGACAGCACCCAGGCTTATCAGCCCCACGTCGCAGCTGGCGATCACGTCGAGTTTGATATCTGTGCAGCTTCTAGGTGTCTTTATTTGGTTTGCAGTTGACCCACCCAACATCATTATAGATTATGATGAGCAGAAAACTATGAACCCTGATCAAGCCAGAGGAGTTCTCAAATGTGACATAACGGATCTACAAATCATTTGTTCCTTGGGTTATAGCATTCTTCTAATGGTTACATGTACTGTGTATGCCATCAAGACTCGGGGTGTCCCAGAGAATTTTAATGAAGCTAAACCCATTGGATTCACTATGTACACTACCTGTATAGTATGGCTTGCCTTCATTCCAATATTTTTTGGCACTGCCCAGTCAGCTGAAAAGGTAGGTGAAAATGAGCTCACGGGCGTCTGTTAGAAAAGCTTTCATTACAGCTATAAATTGTATGCTGATGTCCAGCTTTACAAAGATTTCCAAATGAGCTTTCCAGTTAGCTTGTTACAGAGACATGCAACATACAGCACTATTTTCCTTCTCCCGTTAGTTGGTGGGATCTTCATTTGATAAACTGGCAAATGATCAATGGCAATTGTATTAGCCACTCTTTTTATTGTTGCATCTATTTCAGTTGTCCCTTTTCAGTAGAATAAGTGGGAATTAGCTGTCATATCGTTCGTTCATAAAAGGAGATCTCTTAACTAAGTCATTTCAAATACAAGATGTAAGAAAATAATGTTAAAAAATGATTAAGAGATGTCTGTGCTTCTAGAGGTCAGTGCTGAATTCAATGCATAGTTGTCTGATGCGTGCTCAGCTCTGTTAACAGCAGCTTCAGGGCTTATTTACACCACAGGGTAAAGAGTCTGTCCTGAGCTCCAGCTGCATCTCGAAGGGCGGTGATTTCTGCTGGAAAGGAGTGCTGCCACATCTCAGGTATTTCAAACCCTACTGCTCTCCTTGTCAAGGGTGAGATAAGGAACAACACGGGCAGCTTTCAACCCAGCTGGGTCTGTGTGTAGCTTTGGTCTGATGCAGCAAGCACAGAGCAGCTCTTGTGCTGCTTGCCTGGGAGCGTGTCAAGCCTGCAGGTGACCGAGATGGTGGCTTTGAGCTGTCTGCAAAGATTTAAGTGTGTGATAGAAAGACTGGAAGAATGTCAAAGGCTGCTGCTGGAATTAGGAAGCGTTTGGCAGCAAAATCTTAAGTTTACCATGAGTTCACCTATAGAGCTGAATTACCCTGTACTGCTTTGAAAGTGAAAGATTCTTGCACGAATTCAGGTAGGACAGCAAAAGATGTTATTAATCTGATTTCACGCCGAGAGCAGATGATGCCAGCAGAGCAAACAGCCTTGCAGCCTGTGTCAGTGCAGCTCTGCAGAACTGGTGCCTGTGAGGAGGGCAGAGGTCCATTTCCACAATGCGTGCAAACACAGCTGGGGCTGTGACTGCAGTTCTGCCCTCAGTGTGACTTCACCTGTGCGACGAGCAGCTCACAACACACGTGGCTGCACTTGGGTGTCATCCCCAGAGATGCTCCCTGGTGTGTGGGCACCGAGTGTGGCTGTGGCAAATCTAAGCCATGAGCCAGCTGTGCCAGTTCTCCTCCCCAGCTAGAGAGGCCTTCATGCTTACGCTGAGCAATGCACAGTGGCTTTGCTTCTTGGCTCTCTTTTCTGTCTCTTTTTCTTACTCTCTTTTTTCTTCTTATTTTTTGGCAGGGCAGGGGGTGTTGTACTTTTTTTGTGATTGCTAGTGATTTTCTGTCAGATATTTTCTCTGGAAAATATTGGGCATGATCTTAGCCACGCAAGTCTTTGCTGAAATGGAAATTGTACATGTTGAAAATCTCATGCAGCCCAATCTTTTAAGCTGAGAAATGGTGTTATATATAACACCATGCTTTTCATTGTATGGATTTGTTTTATTTTATCAATAAATACAACTATAATATTGTTTGGTAGGAAGCATATTAAATATACCTCTCTTGTTCAGTGCAAGTTAAAAAAAAAAAAAAAAAAAAAGACTAAAACATGCTGCAAGTATTTCATCAAAGGCAAATAATTCCATTAGCAGAGAGAAAGAAGCGACCAGGGCTGAGGAAGGGCCAGTGCTGCAGGCTGGATATAAAACCTACGGGATATATGGGAGGTGGTATATTGGAAAAGCAGATTCACAGCTTGCATTTACTCAGACTTTCAGTCTGCCCTTAGCCTTCAGAACTGCCCTGCTCAGCTGTGATGTCAGGAAATCAGGTTTCCTTGGTGCCACAGCCTGCTGCTGGGTGCAGCCCACGGTCCCTGTGAGCTGCTGCTGATCCTTGCATGGTGGTTGTGCCCCATGTTCCTGCCTGCCTGCTGCTCTGTTGCTCTCTGGGTTTTGGATCATGTTTTAGGGTGCGTTCTTCTTTTAGTGTGCTTTCCTGTCGCTATTGGTATGTATTCCAAAATGCTGCTGTGGCCTTTGCTGGAGGATGGAGGAACCGTGTCATGTTTTCACTCAGAGCCTTTCTTGGATACCAAACACTGAGCATGGAGCCAGTTGGTCCCTCCCATTGCCCAGTATTGAGCAGCTCCCAGTGGAGGCTCGGGGGCCTTGGGGCTGAGGGTGGTGCCCACCCATCCTTGTGTGTCTTGCTCCTACAGAGAGGGCCCATGCTGCCAAATGCTGCTGCTGTGCTCCTGGACAATTGTTTTTGACAATAAAACTATGTTCAATCCTCAGTGGATGTGTGGGCATCTTACCAGAAGCAAAGTGGCCTCAAAAAGCTGTTAAACCAATTACAGAAGCCCTAGCTCTGCAGCAGAGTCAATACAGAGCAGCACTTGAAAAGAGCACGTGCTGCTCGGTGAGGTCAGGTGGAGCACAGCTCGATCAATGCTCCGAACTGAGCCAAAATCTTGGAGCACAGATGAGAGAGAATGGTGGGAGGGAGCCCTCGGGCTTGTGCTCCCCTCTGCCCTGAGGCTCTGGGTAGGTCAGCAGTGCCTGCTCCTACCATTGCCTTCTCCTGCCTTTCCGGGCCCCATGGTGGTGGGGTCACCGTGTGGGGCTGCATGGCCGTGCTCCGTCCCCACAGGGCAGACTGCAGGGCACACATCTGAGATCGCTGGGTCTCACGGATCTTTCATTTCCCTTTATGTGTTGGACCGTTTTCAGGTTTTTACAGGCAATGTGGTAAAACAGCAGTATGGCAGCATGCGATGCGCTCTGATGCATCTGGAAGCATCCATTCGCAGGTGGTGCTGGTAGCTGCTTTTTTATTATTATGACTCTCTCTTAAAGTAAATATTTTTAAGACTTGCACAGCAAGGATTACCAGAGGCTAAGCTTTCATGGCAAAAATACAAAGAAAAATACAGTGAAGGGAAAAACCATCTGTAGTTAAATCAATGTGATAGAGAGTTCTTAAAATACCGTCTTGCTGTCTCTGTACATAAAAGTCAGTTTATTGTTAAGAAAACAATACCTTTCAGCACTTGTTTAGTACCATTTTACTTCTTCCATGTAATGCTGTTGATGCTAGGAGGAGTTAACAGGGCAGGAGGAATTGTTGGAGGCTGTGTCAGAAATAGCTGGGCGTGGGGTTGGGGCTCTTTTCTCACCACCTCGTTCTCCATTTCTTCTCACCATGTTCAGCCCTGGTTATGAAAGTCTGAGATCACAAGCTATTTTCTCTTGTGGGAATTCAGTATCTCCATGTATGAGTAGTGTTGCTTACATTACATTTCTGAATCTCTAGGATGTAGTACTGAAGAACTAGATCCCTTTAATGGCCAACCTGAGCATCAGTCTGCTTCATGTGGCAGACGTGCCATGACCCACTCAGCAGCGCAGTGTGTCTGATCTGCAGTGCCACGCTGGGCTCAGTAACGTGCACAGGTCTGTGCTTCCTGTGCCCATCACGGTTTGAAGAAGAAATGTCATTTGGAATCAGGCCAAGGTGTAACTGTGAGACTAAAAGAACTCGTTGTGTGCACAGGTCTGAAGTCCGTTCTCGTTCTCGGTCACAGCGTGCAGCTGTAGTTCTCTACGTTGCATGTTCCCCTAAGATCTTATTTTCTCAGATTGTGCCATTGAACTAATATGAGGGGAATGTCATCATTGGATTTCACTTTTGTTTAGTAATTGCTGAGATTAAAATAATAAATTTCCGGGTATGTCTGCTAGGCAGTGATGGCTGTCAGCATGCTGCTGGATAGGTGCAGTGAGTGGGACTTCTTGGAGTATTTTGAGGACATTTGTCAAGTAAAAAAAGTTATAATCATGACTCTGAGTCAGTGATGGTTTTCAGCCAGTGTGCTCTTCCATGCTGGGAGCTTTCTTCATCCTGAAATGAAGAGGAATGGGAAAACACCGACCATATATTCTTGGCTTTCCATCAGCCTATTTTTGAATCCAGATTGTGTTAACCTTTGGCTTTTTTATTTGTATTAACTGTAATACAGCCACTGTGAAACTTGCAGCCCTTGATCCCATGTAGTCTTCCACCTTCCTTCAGATTTCTGGGTCTTTTTTCATGTTCCTTCTATTCAAATCAGTAAGCGGGGTAAGCCAAGTGTATTTGGCAGCAACGTTTTAACTTATTGTGTTGAATGTTACATAAATACTATAATTTCAAGGCACATGCAAAGTGGATTCTTGTTCAGATTAAATAATATCACATTAGCACAGTAGCACTTCAGTGCCTGTTCTATTTTTTGGTGAAACAAAGTTACCCTTCAATTCTCCATAATACAAATACCTATTAACCAGGTAGGACACACACTTATTTTCTCTGCTGGGAAGGCTTGAGATGACAGTTGCTATAGCAACCATACATACGAGGATTTGGGAGTTATGAGGATTTCAATACAACATTTGCTGCAGTTTTATGCTGTTGGGTGGTTGAGGAAATCGGGCTTTGAGGCTCATTTGGAGCACAACTTTGAATCTGGCATAGTGGGGGCACACGAAGGGTTGTGAGCTGTAGCTTTCTTCTAAACAAATGTAATTTATCACCCTTTGAAATGAATAGCTTTAAATAATGCTAACATTTATTCTTTATAATGCCCCTGCTTTCCAAAACAGAAATGAAGACTGGTTCTAATAACAGTGGCTGCTTAGAACTTTATAACTGCAGATATTCGTTTCTCTCGCTGTTCTGCAGTAGAGTTCACCTACAGCTGTATTATGTTTTCGGGAGCTGTGAGGATCTGCATGTTCAGGCACTGAAGTTCTTAACTTCATCCAGCATCAGGCCTGAGGAATGTGTGGGGTTTCATGCAGCCTCGCAGCCCTGCGGTGCCGTGGGCTGGGGCTGTCCTGCAGTGAGCCCGAGCTGCTGGCTGCTGGCCTCAGCCCAAATGGGACCCTGGCCCCATAGGAGGCAAACGACGTGTTCTT